TGAAAAGGTTGAAGTAAAAACGTATATTTCCTGCCCCTTTCTTACTTTTCATAATAAACAGTTTAAATGTTAAGCTAATTTAAAGAAGTGAACTGACAGTTTAGATTTAGTCATTGATACAAATGGTATATTTCTGTGTTTCAGATTTTTAATGCTAAATTAAAGCTAACTTTTGAAACCAGATCAACTACATATTCAGATGTAAACTGATGAAGACTCTAATGTTTGTAACCTGATGTTTTTCCTGTTTAGAAATCAAAAACTAGATGTCAGCATTCAGTTGATTTGATGGTATCGTCCTGTCATGGTCTAATTATTTATATCTGTTTCTTGCTGCATTAATCTACCAGGTGTGAGACGTGAACGCTGCAGCTATCGAGGGGCCAGGCACCGTCGTGGAGGTCTCCAGCCTCGTGGCTTGTTAAGGATTGGAGTGGGTTCCCGGACACAGCACCTTCCCTCCATAGAGTTACCTTTTTCCTCCATGCACCCCCTGACTCAGTCCAACCACCAGTCATCCATGAGTCCAGAGGAGTTCATCTCTCGCATCATGGAGGCTGAGCCCCCAGAGATCTACCTGATGGAGGACCTGAAGAAGCCCTTCACTGAGGCCAGCATGATGATGTCTCTGACCAACCTGGCCGACAAGGAGCTGGTGCTCATGATCAGCTGGGCTAAAAAGATCCCAGGTAAGATGAATGAAAAGAACTGCATGCATAAAAAACTTAAGAGAAAGGTTGTTGACAAACCATGGATGACAAAAGGTTAAGAAATGCTCGCAAAAAGAATTGATTTTTTTCATGCTTTTAAACTTAAGAACAAACAAAACAAAAGACAGATATAAGAAGTATAAGAAAAGTTGGTATAAATTATAAGAAAGCATAAGAAGGAAAAAACTGTGACTWATTAAACAACCGTATGGCTGATATGAAAACAACATGGGGAGTAACGAACGGTGTCTAGAACAATCATAAAGCATGATCGAGTATTTCACAGTACTTTATAAAGGATGACAAGGAAATCTATGATCAAAGATAATAGATTAATTTAATCAATACTACGCAAATGTTGGCCCAGGTCTTCCAGCTAAAATTCCATCCATCCATCCATCCATCCATCCATCCATCCATCCATCCATCCATCCATCCATCCATCCATCTATCCATCATCCTGCTCTATCCAAAGGTGGGTCACAGGGGCAGCATCATGAGCTCTGAGTCTTTCCTGGAGAACTGAACTTCTCAGCCTGTCTCTAAGGGAGAGTCCAGCTACCCTGTGGAGAAAACTCATTTCAACCACTTGTATCCATGATCTTTTCTTTTGGTCACTATCCAAAGCTCCTGACCGTAGATGAGGGCAGGAATGTAGACTGATCGGTAAACAGAGAGGTCTTACAGCTCAGCTCCCTCTTCACTACGACAGACCGGTACAGAGCTGCGAAAGCTGCACCGACCCCTCTATCAATCTCACACTTCATCCTTCCCTCACTTGTGAACAAGACCCTGAGATACTTGAACTCCTCCACTTGAGGCAGGACTTCACCCMCAACCCAGAGAGAGGAATCCACCCTTTACTGATTGAGGACCATAGACTCAGATTTGGAGGAGCTGGTCCTCATCCCAGCCGCTTCACACTCRGCTGTGACCTGCTCCAGCTGGAGATCCTGGTGCGATGACGCCAACAGAACCACATCATCTGCAAACAGCAGAGATGAAATCCTGAGACCACTGAACTGGACTCCCTCTGCCCCCTGGCTGCACCGATAAATTCTGTCCAAGTTATGGACAGAATCTGTGACAACGGGCAGCCCTGGAGTCCAACTCCCACTCTGAAGGGGTCCGACTTAGTGCCGGCAGTGTGAATCAAAGTCTCACCGCTTGTATAGAGACTGAATGATCCGTAACAACAGACCCACAAYCCCATGCTCACGTAACACCCCCCACAGTGTGCCTCCAGGAACACGTTCAGATGCCTTCTCCAAGTCCACAGAAACGTTCAAATACCAAAAGTAGATAAAAATGTGAGTCATCAGTCAGGGGTTGTACCAGCAGTATTTTTCATGGTGAAACTGATAAAGAAGAAATACTGAGTTTTGACAAAAGATCACAAGATAGGGTGGGCATGGATATGATGATGGTAAAGGATATAATTAGTTATGTTATTGAACCGTTTACATAAATACTGTAGTTTATCTTTTTAACAGGAACATTTCCAGATAGGATGAAAGTAGCTGAAGTAATTCATCTTTTTATGAATGGTGAGAAATGTGTCTTCAACCATTATACACCAATATCATTGTTTCCAGTTTTCCCAATTTTTGAGAACTTATCTGTAATCAGATCAGTTTATAGATGAACAGAATATTTAATTATGAGACATTATGGGTGCAGAACAAATAATTCTACATCAGTGGCTCTCATGGAATTACAGATAAACTGCTGTTGATCAAAAACAGTTCTGTGTTAGTGTTTATGTTGATTTAAAGAAATCATTTGACTTCATTGATCACATTATTATTCTTGAAAAGCTGAACTAAGATGGCATTAGAGAATTAGCACTGCAGTGGGTATCTACTGCAGCTGTTTGGAAAACAGGAAACAGTTTGTTCAGGTGAATAATGTTAGATCTGAATTACATGATGTTAGTTGTGGAGTTCCTCAGGGTTCTGTATTTGGGCCACAGCAGTTCATTTTGTGTATAAATTATTTGGTCAATGTGTCAAAGCTTTTAAAATGTTTTTTTTTTTTCTGATGACACCACATTTTTCTTTTCTGGTGAAAATATTGAACAGATGTTGGAGATCATGCAGACAGAAGTCAAGAAATACAAACCTGGTTTCATTTAAATAAGTTATTGAATTTGGACMAAACAAACKRCATGATATTTATTAACTGAAGCTCCATTCAGAACGAAGGGAATTGAAATACTTCTTCAGTAAAATGAAATGTTTGGGTGTTGTCATTGATGAGAAGCTGACATGGAGAGCTCATATTAATTACTTAAGAATAAAAGCAGCAAAAAATAATTATTGAATTGTTATATAAAGTGAAAGAGTTCTAGAATAAAAAACAATAAGAGAAAAAGAACAAGAGAATAATAAAACATTGTATATAATATATAATTCAATGATTGTACCACATTTAATATATTTTCTTGTAGTTTAATGTAAACTATGCAAAATATTACAAATGTCATTTTTATTTTACAAAAATGAGCTGTACAAATTATTAGTAGAAAACTTTATTATTATCTAACAAATAAATTATTTCATCAGCTGAAATAATTGAAGTTTTATGATTTGGTAGAATATAGTATTTTATAAGTTATAATGTTCATGAAAATATATTTTCTGTAAATATTCTGTTAAATTTTGTTAAAAGAGNAGTCAAAACAAGTTTAAAAGATCACTGTACTTTGATTAAAGGAATATGTTTATGGAATAATCTCGTTGATGATATTAAAACTTCCAGAACATTTTAAAAATTATAAAATCTAGTTTATTGGAACAAATACAATACGAAGTTGTTTTTATCAACATGATAAGTTGTTCAAACGATGAACCTGAAGCTGTTCTTGTTTCAGATTCTGTCTGTAAAACGACAGTATTTTTATTATTTGAACTGGTTTTAGAGGAAAAATGGGCAGATGGTTTAAGATTTCTTTTCCTCACTCTGTTTCCTTTAATTTTAACATATTGTGTTTTGTTTTATTGTGTAAAGCTTTTTCGTTTGTTTTAACGAATGAATAAAATGAATCAAAAATGTGAACTTTAATGTCTGTTTTTTACAGAAATAATTTTATAAACTGCAAGTCCTTAAACAGCTTCAGATCAACATATCTGTTATCACAGCTTTACACTGTAAATATTAGATCATGTCATAAAGAAATCCAAACACAGTTATGTGTTATAAAATGGTTTTTTTTAGAAGAGTTTGTTTTTATTAGCTGAACGTTGAGCAGACGTTGGATGGAAACAGGACATACGTAGTTAGACTTGTAATGATCATCTGTGGATTTAATCCAGGTTTATTGATGTTTGATGGACTGGATTATTAATGAAGAGTCTGCAGTAGGTGTGTTTCTACAGGTGTCACTTTTTAAAAAGAGAAAAGGAAAGTTAAGCTTTTGAAGAAAAGAGAAACCTGCCTSTTTTAGCAGACAACTCTTCTTCTTCTTACACAGTTTTCTCATGAGTGACACCTTGTGTTGGAGGAGAACTGTAGATTAAACACCAACAAACTGAGGATCTGTTTCACTKAAGTGAAAAAAAACCACAGTAATATTAAAACAAGAAAAAGTGAAGTTGTGTTTTATCTTTAAATAATAGAACAAATGCATTTTTCTGCTTGGTGCTGACTTACTGAAACACACCTGCTGATGGCAGCTTGATGATTTCCCACCAAGCTTCAGTTCTGAGTTGTGTTCAGGTGTGATTCAGATGACATCAAAGTGTATCAGTTTTAAACAGGACTTGAGTGTTAACTCAAGTGTTAAGTTTACTGCTGGGCAGTAAAAATGAGTGTGCTGAATCGTGGTTAAGGGCTGAGTTTTATCTTGTGTCTCAGTTGTGTTGGATTGTTTTATGAAGATCTGGATGGACCATGGATTAGAGATCCAAAAACCTCTTGGACATGATCACACCTCACTGATTTTTATTAAAATTGTTAAAATGGTATCTTTTTCCATCCTATTGGTTTTCTGGACCTTTTTTTTTTTCATTCACCGCTTTTCCATTTCCTGTCCTTGTCCAGTCTTTGTCTGCTGTCCTGCCATCAGTCAGTGTTCAGCTCAGCAGGAAGCTGCTCTGTAAATGTGTTAATGTAAAGGGCTCACAAAGACTCACCTTTCTCAATGAGCTGCTTTTCCCACTTACGTTAGTATTTTTTTACTCCACTGAAAATAGAAAATAGAGTGCACATTGTCTGCTCTATGAAAGGACACATGAGGTACAGGCAGGTGAACAAGGCTGTCTGTCAGTACTGTACACATTAACCTTTCTGTTCTGGTAGAGGAATCATCGATTCTTACAGTCATTTGTGAGATAATTTTTGTCTTTTGGTCCATTAAGTGTAAACTTTTGATATTCAGGAAGACATTACAATAAATCATAAGAAGCATCTTAAGATCCGCACATACTGTATGTCAAAGAAGTTAAGAAAAATCAATGAAAAAAAGTAGTTTTAGAGCAAACAAATAGCCCAAAGGGTGTAATGATCTGTCCATAAGATCACAAAAAGCAACACAAAGCTGGGATTACTCTATTCCTACATTTGTACAAAGAGAGGTGTGGAACATAACAGAAGTTACCAGGATGTTTGCAGAAGTTTACTATAGTAAAACTAGTTGTTTTTAACACTTTTTACAGCTGTTTACTGTAGTAAAACTAGTTGTTTTTAACACTTTTTACAGCTGTTTACTGTAGTAAAACTAGTTGTTTTTAACACTTTTTACAGCTGTTTACTGTAGTAAAACTAGTTGCTTTTAACACTTTTTACAGCTGTTTACTGTAGTAAAACTAGTTGTTTTTAACACTTTTTACAGCTGTTTACTGTAGTAAAACTAGTTGTTTTTAACACTTTTTACAGCTGTTTACTGTAGTAAAACTAGTTGTTTTTAACACTTTTTACAGCTGTTTACTGTAGTAAAACTAGTTG